TATCATTTATTCTACCGATGGAGAGATGTGAACAAGCATCACTTGCATTTGAGTCATGATGTCAAGCTTTGAAGTCTAGAGATTTCTTTTATTCAAGCAATGGCAGTGCAGATTGCAAGCAACGCCCGGAGTTGGCACCCTGGCAGGGTCCCACAGTGACCGCGCGGTGGCACAGACCTGCAGGGATGGATTGCAGTCTGGTCCTTGAGCTCCTCACTTGAACAAACCGAGGGAAAGCGGTGCTGGGAGGAAGACAGTGTGGCAGGCACTTCTCTGTGGCTCCACAGAGAAACCACCCTTCATCCCACCCTGTCTGAAGGCAAAGAGTGGAGCAGATGTAGGGGGCAGGACGAGAGTGAAGGAAGCATGCACAGGAGTCGCTTCTCTCCATCACCGAAAATACACGGGTACAGAGAAAGCCCACAGTGAAAGATGTGCACTTTTAATCTGTGAAAAGGGGGTTAACCTAAGGATTGCCATGGCGGGCAAGGAGATGGTAGTATTACTACTTTGATTGTAGGTAAGCCCAGTAATGCCAAAGCTGTGAAGCAGATTGCTACAGCTCTCCAGGGAGGTTGTGAGAGGGAGGTAGAGACTGCTGCGTAGACAAGAGACCCAAGACATCCCCACCTGATGCCTTGAAATATTCATCTCTCACCAGTGTCTCTGCTGGAGCCTGCACTTCTTTCCTGTGAAATGCAAAAGTTTGACAAGGCAATGCAGTGTTAGAGAGTGACTTTTTTGACAAAGCAAATCTCTCACTTGCTTAGCCACTGTAAAACCACATCTTTGGAGATACGCAAACCCTGACTGCGCACTGTCCTGAGCACCCTGCTCTAGGTGATCCTGCTTTGAGCAAGGTGATCCTGCTTGGAGCAGAGGGACTGGACTAGGTGATCTCCAGAGGTCCCTTCCCACCTCAGCCGTTTTGTAGTCCTGTGATTCTGCAAACTGACATTGCATCTTGTGTGTGGAGTTAGGCTGTGCGCATGGAGGCTTTGAGCATGTCCCACCCCAGGGTGCCCTCCTCTGGACATCCCAGTGCACAGGGCTTGCGGGGAGCCCTGCCTGTGAAGCATAGCTAGGCCAGGGGCAGCCAGTAGGCCAAGCGCTTTGATGCACACGTGACTGGTCACAGCCTGGGCTGCCAGCTAAGCAGTCTATTCTAAACTAGGATCTTTAGCAGGCAGTAGCCATCCTCAACTGTCTGTCTGTGCCTTGCCTTCCATGCCATCATCCTCTCCTTCCGGTCTAGCTGCTCCTCCAGCTTCCTCCTGCTCTGTTAGCTGGAGTCTCTCCATCTCTTTTTGAACTGAAGCACTTTAATGCTTTCTCCAAGCTCAGTTCCTAATGCTGGTCGAAGCGCTATGTTTTAGGTAATTTTGAGGCATGGCCGCTCTGGTAAAGGCGAGATTGCAGGACCAAGGAGTGCTTCCCACTTCCCAGGTTGTGGTCCGCAACCCAGTGTATCCTAACTCCAAACAGGAGGAGACAGCAGACCCTCTCCTCTCCCATCCCCACATGCCTTTATTTCCATGGAATAGCAAATGCCGGTGTGTGTGACCTGGGTACAGGCTGCAGCAGCTCCCCCCCAGACTGGTGACTTTCTGTGAACCAAGCAGCATGTGAGCGTGGCCCCAGCTGTTGACTGGCACATCCCAGCTAGAAGAGGTGGTTGCTCAGGGTGCATCAGCTGGTGCAGTTTTACAAAGCAGCCCGTGTTCAGTGGGGAACACAGAAGCTGACCAGCACTTTCAAAAACTCTATCAGTTAAGATGTTTAACCTCACATAGTTGAAAACACAGTCTATTTTTCCTTAATCTAACCATGACCTACATTTCCTCAAGAGCTCCTCCTGGTCAGGGAAGTGACTCTCTGGTTCATTGCTCTTGTAGCCTACTGATGAAACATGTCAACTTGAAGATAAGGAGCTCGTAAAAAGCTTGTTTTGAAACCTGGCTACTTGGGACTGTCCCTACTGTCTAATGCCAACATGAATGTCACTCTTCAGATTTTCCTTTCTTGAGGAACCCAAGGCACAGACAGGTGGAATTAATTGATCTAGCTCAAGAAAAGAGTCTCAGGCAGAGTAAGGACAGAACTGACATCATCTGGCTCCTCGCCATAGTTTCTTACACAACTCGCAGGTGTCCTTCCATGGGGAAATTCATCAGTGCAGGACTTATTTTATACACGCTACTGAGTCTGCCGTGAGCCAAAAAATCCCCAGTGTCCACTTGCAAATTTTGGAGTCATTTATATCCATAGTAATAAAAGCTGTATGCTGCTTATTTAGCAGGGCTCTTCTAATGTTCTGTTTGTTGTTTTGATAGTCTGTATCTTCTTCATATTGTAATCATATTAAAAGAGCATTCTTTTCCTGGAATAAAGAGGTAATGATTCACAAGAGGCATAATTATTCCATGTGGTGCAGGCAGGATGCTACCGAAAGAGCTGTCTTCTTTATGTGTAAGAGGCTTTTATTGCAAGTGTTCTACACAGTAATTAAATTCCTTTGAATGAGAAGGCTTGATTGGATTTTCTTTGGTTTACTGGGAGGAGTCTGAAAAGCAAGGTATTTAGCTCAATTGCTATACAATTTTGGCATCTGTTAGGGGCTAGGGAGAAAGGTTCAGAGTGTCTGATCCCCATTTCTGTTATGCTAGTATTATGTTAGCTGAACTCAGTATTATATTAGCTGAATTCAACTGAGTTACATTACATTTGTATTTGTGTGAGAATCAAGCTCAGAAAGCTCTGCTGGAAAGCAGCAGGATACCTGAACATATGCTGTAAGAATTCAAATTATGTGGGGGGAAAATGTTGTTAAAGGAAAGTTGCTCGTAGCTGCAAGGCAAGTACCTGATAGTGAGAAAATTTCATATTTAAGATGATCTGATGTTTGCTTTGTAGGGAGTCCAGCCTTGGCTCAAAATGGGGCAAAGCTTTAAAAGACAGCAGCAAACAAATGAAAAGTCAAGTGATCATGCAACAAAAGATTATGGCATGACACATGAGCAAGCATGGACCAACTTTTGAATATTTGACTTGTCAACCTAAATCATATTTGTTTAATATCAACTGTTGTATACAGCTGCCAAGGGTTTTTTAAGGGAAAAGAGTAAACATGTAAATTGAAAGAAAAAACATATAATATACAGCCTCATTGTGTATTAGCCATATGGTTTGGGGTCTGAAGCATAAATTATGCTACTCATTACTCGAAAAGGTTATGCAATACCTCAGAAGGAGAATGTGAACCCAGGCAAGGAAAGACACCTGACATTGTGGAGGTGTCACTGGGGGGACATGGAGGATGCCAGATTTTACTCTTGCTCCCCTCCGAGATTTACAGGACCCCCAAATTATGGCCCCAAGGGAAAGGCAAGGCTTCGAGGCAGGTCAGGTTGTTGCAGTGGGGAGCCTGGTGGGTGCTTTTCTTTCGCCTCTTGCCCCTGGCCACAGCTCCCCGGTAGTAGGGAGATGACGTGCATCCCACCTGCACTGGTGGGGGTGGATATGAGGCGGGGTAGGCTGGTTTGGCAGGGAGAAGGGCAGGGTGACTGAGGTGGAGGAAGAGCTCCAGGAAAAAAAGACCGTGACTATGCTTTGTAAAGACAAAAAGTGCAAGAAGGAGCTTGAAGAAGTCCTGTTGGGAGGAGGCTGGGACTGGCCAGGCATGGAAAATGGGACAGAGACATGGAGATTCTGCAAGGACTCTTCTCGACTGGATCTCAGTCCAGCCAAGGGAGGTGGCAGGTTGCTGGTGGTAGCATCCAAGTCTGAGGGGAACAGGCAAAAAAAAATTTTTGTACTGCAAATCTTCGGGTTGGACCTGTGACTCCTGAGGCTCTTGTGTCCTCATGCCTGTCTGCAAGACCCACGAGGAACGCACATGCCTCACCTCACTCTGACATCAGGGGGGCACCAGCGCTTCGCCAAGGAGAGGTCAGCAGCATTTTAATTTCAGTTTTAGCATTGCAGAATAAAGCACTTCTTCCTTCCCTGCTTTCTGGAAGGAGCTGAATGATTCTGGCTGAAAGTCTGCAGACCAGTTCAGCCTGAGGCAGGCACCTGGCATAGCTCAGGCCAGCCCAAACGGATGTATCTTGACAAAGACGGAAGCAGTCAAAAATACGTCTACCAGTGGGAAACGTTATACCTACCCCACCTACTCAGTGTGAACAGTGCCACGCAGGGGGAGGAAACTCTGAGATTAAATGGTTACCATTTCAGAAGTACATAGCTGAAGAGGAACAGATAAGAGCAATGGTTTGCATTTGGGATGCCGACGTGCGTGTCTGAACCTGAACCGGCTCTGAGCAGCTCAGCCATACATCTCTGCCGGTAATAAAACTTGGGAGTGCTCATGACTCATCGCGCCTCTTTTCCTTGTGGAATACAGGACCTGATGGATGTCTGGAGCTGAGTATATTTTCTGATGAATTTTGGTAATTGCAGCCAGAACACTTTGGTTTATTACCTTTTTTTTCTTCCTATTGGCTGGCAGGCATTAATAACCGATAAATTGTCTGTCCTGTTGTCCTCTTCTTTCTTACTTTCAACTTTTATGTTTTTACATCAAAGACAGAGAGAGCAGTAGCTACAAAATGCTCCAGTCTCTGTGGCATTCATGGAGCACCATTAGGCAAATGAGATTTGTCTCTGTCCTCCTTTGGAGCCTGCCGGTCAGTGCCCTAGGACTGTACAGAGAATATCGTTGTGAACCAACAGGGACGCCAATGAGTCACATCAAGCCCAAGCCTTCCCTGCTGTCACTCTACTGACTTCCGAGTGGTTGTGCCTCCCTTTATGACCTATTTATGCTCAGCAAGGATCCCTCCAGGCTGTATGGGCCACTGGAAATGGAGCCCAACGTTTTGCCAAAAAAAAGGGACTATTTGCAAAAAATATATGTATTTGCAAGGATATAAATAATAAAATAAAAAACGGATTCAATTTGGCTGATCTCTCTTTCTCTTTCTTGGCTTCCTGAGCAGAAACAGTCACACCTGAGGATTACCTGGCTGATCCCACGAACATGAAACGCTACAGCATGGATCCTGCTGACTCGGCCTGCAGCTGCGTGGGCTCCGTGTACAGCATGCGGCCAAGCCCTGCAGACGGGCGTCTTGCCGGGGGCTCTTCGTCCGCCTGCAGCCATCGTCCTGCCCAGATGTCTTCAGGAGGATCGTCCTCTACAGGCCTGCGGCATCCAACCTCCAGCCCAACTAGGAATGGGACCTATCCTGAAGGAAACAGAAGTGGTAATAAAATGTCTTCCTATTAGCAGTGTGTGTTGCAATGCTGGTGCCACACCAGAGTCTTTACTCACTCCCAAACCCCCAGGAAAATTAGCGAGACGGGTCTGGGTTAACATCCATCCAGACCACACACGCTTCCACTTAGAAGGAGAAATAATAACCTGTGTAGACAGAAAATCAATCTGTTCATCATTAGGTAAAAAGGTGAATGTTTTCTAGTGTTGTTATTAATTATGTAAACAGATGTATTATGTATAATCACGTAGCAATCACAACTGGCTTTATTGACTTACAGATATAAATATTAATATATAAAGTGTTGCTCCCCAAGATTGATACTGCTTAACCGTATGATACCATCTGTGCAGAAGATAGGATGCAGGGCAAACCCAAATATCAGTGCCAGCTTCAAATCATTTCAGCAAAAGGTTTTGCTTCCTGGACGCATAGACCACTCTGCCCCTTTAATCATAAACTGGATCCGATTTTGTTTGAAAAAGACTGCCCAGCTGAACATATATTTTTAGGATCCATCCAGCTCTCTGCTCAAGGGTCTGCTATCCTGCAGGGAAGCAAAGTCACAACAAGTAGTTCCACTGAATGCAAGGGATGCCATGGGGACCACTGCGATCGATGTCCTTTCTTTTCCTCCTCCTTTGTATTTTTGTCCCAGTGCCCTGCTGGGATTTAGGTTTGCTGGGTTGGTTGCTCTGCCCAGTTGTGCTGCTCTGCTGGTGTGAAGCTCCTTTTAAAAATGGGCTTGGTGGCCTTGCCTGCAGGAAGACGTGTCCGACAGTTGAGGGGCCCAAAGCCACGGGGCAAGTGGGACCAAAAGGGGAACCAGGCGCGTGTCAGTGCAGCTTGCAGGACCAGGCAGCAAGCAGAGTAGAGGCTGGGGGCTCACAGAATCGGGGGAAAATTGGCTGTAGCAGTTGTAAATGTGGTCTCGTAGCTCAGGCAGAGCCCACTTTCCAGGACCGAGTGCAGCGATCAGAGCATTGCTGTTACTTCAGTTTCTAAATCATTATTGTACTCGCTTTTCCTCAGGTTTTTGCTGTATCTCCAGTTCTACACAGTTTCTTTTTCCCCATAAATGACCTGAGTTCATCAAATTTGTTAGCTCATTCTCTCAAATTCTGTTAACTTTGTCTTTGTTTGCATTTTCCAAGGTCTCCATTAACATGTCTTTATCGGTAGTGATTCTAACAGTGTCTTCACCCCTTACTAATTATTCAAGCTTCATTTATGCATTCCTCATCTTGAAGATAGATCTAATAAAAGAGTTGAGAGTCTCAGCCATTTTTAAGTCATTAATTTCTTTCCCTTCCTCATTTGTTAATGGAACCTACTGTCACTGTAGTATTTTTTTTTCTTTCTATGTATTTGCAGAAGCCTTGCTGGTTCCCCTTAGCCCCTTTGTCTAGCATTCACTCATTACACTGCCTTTCTGCCCTTGCATTTCTCCTGAAAACTGCAAGTGATTTTGCATATTTTTGCTTGGTAGCCACCCCAGCGTCTCTCTCCAGCAACCTCAGATTTTTGCATAATTCCTTCACAGTGCTCTCCTCCCCAATGTCTGTACTAGTTCTTGCTCCTGAACTTTTACTGGCTTCGTTTAATATTTTAGAATATTATTCTTCCAAAATATTTTTTTTTCGTTTTTATTTCTGAATTTCTTTGTTTCCCTAAGTTTGCCTTCCTAAACATTAAATACCTGCCCCAAACTGTCAATTTGATACTTTTTTTCGCATCCCTGTTGCTTTGGCTTATCCCTGATTCCTCTATTATACGTAACACAGGTAAGCATTTGTCCTCATTACTTTTCAGTACTTACAGGGTCAACTTTAGCCAAAGCAAAGTGGATAGTATGGAAATGCACTACTGCAAACACATTTTAGAAGGCTCTTGCTAAAAACTTGGGGCCTCAGCTACAAAGAAAAGGAAATGAAAAGCTACTTTCTTTCAGATCTTGCTTAATGCCTTAAGGGTCCACACAATCAGAGGCTGGGGGGCAAAGAGGCTTCCCACACATGAAGATTCGTTTTGCCTCTCCCATTGCTTCCCTAGGACCTCCTAGGAGAACCGGGACCCTGTGGTCAAGCTTTCTAGTCGGCAGCTGCAAGCAGCCAAGATTTAACAATGTTGCTGCTTGCTTGGTTTGAAAGTCTTTGCCATTCTTGCCGAGATGAATTGTTATCTCGTTGTGGACTGGTCATACCACGTCCAATCAAAGGTCTGCCTAGCCCAGCCTCCTGTCTCCTGCACGAGACAGCATGTAACGAAGGAAGAGACAAGTGCAAAGATAGCGGTGCTGCCCCGTATCCTCTCCGCCTTCAGCAATTCGTGGCTCAGAGACTTCCTGAGCCAGATGTGGTGGATCCACATTTAGTAACTCGTGATAGATTTTTCCTCCCGTAATTATCGAAAGGCTTATTGAATACTTTGCACATTCTCAGCATCCATAAAGTACAGTGGTAAAGTCGCACTGCATAAAGTTGTGTTGTGTGGAGAAAAGCCTTGGTCTCAGGGGTTTGAATCCATGTCCAAGAGACTGAAGCTTAAAATCATAGCTCCTCAAGCTCACACCGCATTTCTTTCCCTTCTTGTTTTTGATTGTGAATGCCACTGTTTCACAGTCTTGGACATGGACATGGACAACGCCTCATGACAATTAAGCAATTTCCTGAGTGGGAAGCTGAGTTTCAAGGGACAGGTCCATCTCTTTCATCAGGACTTCCCACAAAACTTCGTCTTTACAAAATGAAAGCCTAAAAGACGGCAGGTCTTTTTTTCTTAACTGAACCATCAGAAAAGTCGTTGACTTGCCATACAATAGGCTTTGCAGATTCCTGTATTTCTCTAGCTTGGAAATTATGAAAGCAAACTGAGGAGCAAAGAGGAAGAGCTTTCTTTGGGCCCAGGCACCTGTGATATTTAAGTGCTTTTGAAGAGCTCTAAGTGACTTCGAGCTGCTACATAAGACACTTAGGGGTGAAAGGACTCCGCCCAAACCACTTAGTATTTTTTCAGGTGGCTCATGGATTTGATTCTTGCAAAGACTAGCTCATCTTGGACCACTGGGACGTGTGGGCCAGCTCAGGAAACAATACGGTCTCTCTAGAACCGGTAGTTATGCAATGAAGATCACTAAAGCCGTTACTAGTTTGTTGATGCTGCTTATTTATAATTATTAGCAACTTACTGGTCCTGGTATCATCCGCTGTACATTACGGCCTGCACATAAAAGCACATGCAAACCCATACAGAGATGGTTTTGCCATCAAGGGCTTCAACAAGAGGAACAACAATCTCCTTCTGTATCTCAGGTGCTCTACCAATATACACTGCTGTAAATAAGCTCAAAGGGCTAGTGCACATCTGTGCCACTACCATCCACTGCATTTCCTCCAAACTCCCCAGCTGTTTTCTAGAAATGCCAGCAGAGAGTTTCCTGCAGTCCACGGAGGGTGGTTTACTCTCCACTACAGCCAGGTAGTTCTCAGCGGCTGTGATTTGCAACGCAGTGACATCCATGAAGTCCAGGTGCCCGCAGATTTATTATGACATCATTTCTAGCATTAAAGAAACTGTCCTGTTTGCAGCCACAGCTTGGTTTCGTCTCCTCTTCTGCCTGTGATAGCATCAGTTCTGATGTGCTTCTCAATAGCACTGCAAGTTTTGCCACAGATTTTTACAAAGCATAGACTGTGTCTCCTTAAATATAGAGACCCTATCTCTTCACAGCTATTGTATTTGTCACCTAACATGCTTATTCCGCTTCTACTGGCGACGCTAGACTTCTAAAATATGCATCCTTCTGAAATTGCCTTAGTGCAGCTATGCTAGAGTTTGATTACTGTCTTTGCAAAATCTCTCTTACAAATGTCTTGGAAATCTGTGCTCTCACTATGATGCTTCTGTGTGTGTTTTTCTTTTTTCTAGAGATAATTTATATGCTGCTGAATCATAAGCAAGCAAAGATGAGTAATTGGTGCATGCTAGAATCTGTTCTTATTCTTCTCACTTTGCATACTTACAAGGCAGGGATGGGCAGGGCTCATTAAAAGGAGAAAGAATTTGTCTCTGGAACCTCAAGCCAATCCTCTTTATTTATGGATATTTTTGAAAAATAGCATGCCTTATCTATCATGATAGGCAAATATCATGGACAAAATCATAACTATAGGACATATCACGGTGCCTAGCAGAACATGTTTTTCAAGCGGAATGGATGAGATTAAACCTTAAAGCTCTCATTAATACGATTGGAAACTCGATGCCTAATTCTCCGTGATTATGCTAAAAAATTCCAAACGAAAAGAAAAAAAAAATCTCATTTCAGAAAGCCAGTTGGGGCTGCTAACAGACAAGCATGCACTTTCCTGTCATCATTTGCCAAATTGAAGCTCTTAAATCAGGGAAGGAATAGTCAAGGACATCATAAATCTTTCCAAGCCCTGCTTACGTAACAGACAAACAAACCCTTTGCTTCGAAGTAGGAAGAACGCGTATTTAATCACAACACAACAACCTTAACCTTGTGCTGCAGCTTGTTGTTTTTACTTAGATTTCATCATCTAATATTAGCAGTTAATTATTATCACCTGAAAGCCTTTGTTAACGAGGCATTACTACTTGCTAACGTATTTATTTCCTGAAAATATTTTGGGGTGCAGGGTTTGAAGTTTCTTTTTTTGCAGAGTAGTGCTGCGAGCACATTACAGGGGCTGAATCCAGCACCTTCCTGGGGCAGCGGCAAAGGAGGTCCCGACGGCACTGCTGGGCTCACTGCTGGGCACCACTGCTTCGGCAAAAGCAGAAACGTCCATTTTGTAGGACATTCAGAACCTGAAAGGTTGGATGCCTTCAGTGAGATGACTTTTCTCTTCTCTTTACAAAAGAGAGGCAAAACAAGAAAAGCCTAAATGAATATGTCATGCCGATTCACGACTGCCTTTCCCTCAGCTGGACTTTGGGCTGCTCGCAGGGCTGCAGCGCTGGCCACCGCCGTCCCCTTGTGCCGAGGGGCCGTGCCCCGCGTGGCACCTGCGGGAGCCAACAGCCACCAGCTTGCGTAGGCTACGCTGACATATCAAACATGATCTTGAGCTCTCTGCTGATTACAGGTTAGCAAATCTTGCAGTGCCTGTACATATTCTGTAATTATATTCCCCATAGTCCCAGTTTTCTGATGCCTTCTCTGCTAGTGACACCATCTCTTTCGGTTGGTGTGCTCCCTCCTTTTAGGAAAGTCTCTTTTACAAAGCCTTCCGCCTGTCCCTGTTTAGAGTGAGAGGTTTGGGTTTTGGGGTTTTTTTTTTTTTTTGTAATGTTTCCTGTTTCTCTGCGCCTCCGAGGGCCTGCTAGTTTTGTTCACTTTCAGTAGATCTGCTTCTCCTTATTATCTGCTCCAGTGCGATCAGAGAGAACCTTTTAAAATTTCATTCCCACCCCCTTCCCCTGAGGCAAAGAAATCATTTAGGCCTGCAGCAATATTAAAGTTCATCTGTCACTCCCTTTCCACTCTTATCTATCAATGACCGTGCTCCCTCTGGGGTCTGTTTGTTTGCCAAGAACATATTTAAGGAGTCTGTTATTTATCTTTACTCTGTTCACAGGTTTAACTCCATTTTAGCATCCTATCTCCTTGGCATGTCCCTGCATCAGTTGGGCTGCTGGCTTTAGCTCTTTCCAGCCTCCTTCTCAGGACAGCTCCAAAGCTGGAGCCTGGGATCAGAGGAAAACCCGCATGGGACGAGGCGCCTCAGCTCAGACCGAGCCAGGTCATGTCTCTCTGCTGGCTTGGGCCGTGGTGTTTCGGGGCTGAGCCAGTGTTTCCGGCAGACGCAGCTCCTGTTGCCATGCAGGGAACAGCCAATATTTCTGAAGCGTTGGGACTCCCCGTGAAGCCACCCCCCAAGGAGAACCCGCTCCCCCTCTTTTCTCAGGCACCGTTTTAGGTAGAACGGAGAAGTGCTCCCCTCTGATTACCTAGATTTCCATATCCCCTTCCATTAATTTGAAAATTTTTTTGCCACCTGTCAAAAACAGGAAATTGGATTTGACCTAGATTACGATCTCTAAAAATAATTATTGGTCCTAAGCACTCCCATCTCTTTGTAATCTGAGTATTCATTATCATCTTGATTAATTCTGATGACAGGATGGCATAGGATACCCGGGAGACGTGCAGCTTCCTCATTTATCTAATTCTTAGGTTAAGTGTGAATACCTTCAGATAGGAAGAAAATGTATAGTACTTGCTCTGCTGCCATCAAACACTTCTGTGCTTAATATAGGAGTCTTTTAACAAAGTGATGCTATTGAAACATAAAACCTAGGCCTTTGTGTAGACGTGAAATTATTTATTTTTCTTTTGTAAATAAAGAGGTTCCACTTAAATGTGTAAACTAAGAAGCTACTGAGCCAGAGTAAAATAAACAACAAAATACATTTTAAAAGATACGGAAGAGAAGATTGTTTCCAGACTAGGAAACGAGTTCAAGAGTCTTGTCCGGAGGCTGATGGTATCCCATTTTTACTAACGAAATTTAAATACAGCTAGGTATACACAAGTAAAATAATACATCTTCGTTCATGAAAAAGCAGTAGAGAATCCAGCATTTAATTCTGGCTAGGTAAACGATGATCTTTGAAGAGTTAGTATCTATGCATAATTCTTGTTTTTAAATCATTACATGATACCTCAGATAGAGATATGAAAGGGTTATCTTAACTTGTTGGGGCCTAGAAAAGTTCTAGCCGTGTAGTCTCTTTAGAAAGGTCATTTGTATTTTTATCTTTAAAAAAATCAGATTTATGCTATTGATCGTTAGACTGCGAAGGAGTGAATAGAATTCCCTTGTCATTTCAACCTTTTCTTCTCACCCCCCCCTTCCCTTTATTGCAAATATTTCTAATACCTGTAAAGGCTCTCAGGGGGCTCTCTGTTCCCCTTTGCTCTTTCCTGGCATTTCTGGAAGCAGTGCGTTTCAGGCAAGAGTCATGGGGCTAAGGACTGCTCTCTCTTAAACAGGAAACCAGGAGAAAACACCTGATCTTCAGCTGGGGCACAACATCTCCTCAACCATATCACGGCAGTAGCATAGAAACTTGCCTCCGCAATTCTTTGGGCACAGCCAAGCTGTTCTCTCTCCCCTCTCTTTTCCCACTGGTTTGCAAAAGCTGGATTTTCTTCCTGCCCATTGGGTTGAACTGCCCAGGGGCAATATCTCCACACATTAGCTGGCATCCAGACCACCAGTGGATCCAGTGGGGGAGAAACACTGCTGTTGCCAAGCCAGCCCACAAGACCCTCTTTCGAGGTGCTTGTGCCTCTTCCTCCAGGAGAAGTCGTAGTTCTCCGCTTGCCCCGACAAACTTACTCAACGTTACTGATGATGCAGGGGTTGGCCGAGATTGCCCTGTGTGTTTTGCACTCTTTGTCTTCATCATTTCATGCCAAAGACTCCAGATGGTCTCTTTACCATTGTGCATTGCGTGTATTCTGTGAGCAGCGCCCAGGGTCGCGTGGCTCCGTACGAACACCAATCCTAGCTGCCTAATTAAGAGGACCTGCAGCTATTCCTTGTCCGTTATATGCAGAGCAGTGACTTAGCAAATGAGAGTGTAATTATCATGATATTTACATCATATCCCATTATGAAACCCATCGAGCAGATTTGCACATTTGTAGTGCTGCTGCTTGCTGGAGTTCATCCTTCATAATTGCAAAATATACCTCATTGCATTATACTGTAAGATGAGGATGATGGCAAGAGAAAAAAGGACCAATACGTACATAAAGCAGTTATTGTGCATATATGGGCAGATCTTCAGATAATATAAATCAGCACAGCTCTATTGAAGTCATTGAAATGACAATTTACATAAGTCACAAACCCAGCCCACTACATTTGCTCACATATATTATGATGTTTTGAGCCATGCATGGTATTCTAATATATTTTAATCTATCTTTACAAGCTCAGTATTTCTCCAAAGAGCTCAGCTCTGAACCATTCTAATTTCCCTCTTGTCTACTTGGGGTTTCTCCAGGCTCCAGTTTTGCAACTAGTCAGGTATCTCTGATCTCCCTCTACTTGGCACTCTTCTGTTTTTTCTCCTACCTTCTGCAGTGTCTGCTTCTTAGCGTTTGCATCTCTCTCATTAAAAATTGTGCCTTAACAAAAAGAGAGATGAGTAGGTCTGAGCAAATAACATTTTATAGATCTGTGTACTGCCTCCTGCTAACACAAAGTTTGCTTTGTGTAGATATAAACAAATATAAACAGCTTTCCTGAAATGCATAGTATAGTACTTGCAATAGTGAAGCAGCTTGGGGGGGGGGGGAAAGGGGAGAATGGCACACACATGGAGGCTGAGATTTATAATTCTGCAGAGACTAAGAATAAAAACATAAAAGCGCTTTCATTCCAGTGTGCCTTTATTCCCTTGATTTAAAGCTACAGCAAGCTGAAGTGACCTTAAATCATCCTGGGCTCATACCATTAAAAAGTCACATGTGCAATGTTCATCTTAGCATGTTTTAGTAGCTCTCCAAATAGACATTCATTGGGGACCCTCAGCTTGGTGAGAGCCTAAGATTAGGCAGATATTGACTAGAAATGCTCCTTTAAGCTCCAAGATAAGTCTGAAAATCTGAATGCTAAGAGAAAAACTATTTGCTAAATCCCCATTTTATCCTCTAGCCTTGGCATTCAGTGGCAATCTCCTTTGTTTAGTGCCCAAGTGCTTTCTCTCCAGGTGGGAGGGTGGTGTCTTCTTGAGCCAACATCCTCACTGCTTGCAGATCAGACAGCAGGGGCAGCTCAGTTTAAGAGCCTGGCAGCTGGCACATTTTTCCTTCCCCAGCAGGAACCTGAGGGTTTCATGTTTTTTAACACAATTCACCAGCTGGGATCGTGTCTTCTGGTAAGTGCTCAGATAGGAAACTGCCAAGTCCCCTTCTCTCCCCGCCTCACCATCTCAGGCCAATACCCACACATGAGGATCTGAAGTCCATGGCAATGTAAGACTGCCGTACTGCTGCACACTCACAAATCAGGGAAACCACTGGATGCCATTGTAATGTTGTGGGCTTTTTTTATACCGATAGCCTCAAGTCCTTCACCTGAAAGACAAGAAACGGCTCGGCCATCAAGCAAGAATCCTTTGACCTGGACTGTGGATGACGTGGTTTGGTTCGTGAAGGATGCAGACCCTCATGCTTTAGGTCCCCACGTGGAGCTCTTCAGAAAGCATGTATGTAGAAAGCTGCCCTTTGTGTATCTGGGTAATTTATGCCAAGTGCACAGGCGCTCCCAAGGGATGGCCATCACACATCACACACACGTCCTCAGCTCCCTTCAGATGCAATAGGCAGCGTTTGTGCTCAGCCAGGTTCAAGACAGGGTTGTGCAAGGAATTCAGCACCACTGTGAGGTTTGGCCTGAAGAAAGGTTCACTTACCCTTTGATAGGAAGACCCCAATAATGTCTTTAGAAAATGCTTACTATCTGTTCATAGCTATGCTAGCATAAATTTTCTGTGCCAAGCCTAAGAGAAAGCACAAAGGATCTGGTGCTCATTTTTCATTGTCGGATTGGCACAAAAAGCCTGGCCTCAGTGACAATTATTTCCCAGAGCACCCATGATTCTCCCCTGAAGAGCATTTTTTATGTGTCTCTGGATATTTAGCAGGAGAAACCCAAAAGAGCCACGCTTTTCATTCTTTTCACAGTATTATATAACAACATAACTGAATTTAACAGACCTGCTGACTCACTGGGGAATATGACAGTTGCTTTCGTTAGGCAATCTCCAGTAGTGGAAATGATATTATCCTCTAGTATTTCAATTAGTACAGGGAAAAGCTGTAAACATACATCTGACCAGGAGTTTCTTGTTTTCCTGCTGTATATGGAGTTGGTACCCCTGCATCTAACAGTATCTTCGTGCATCCCTTCATGCTTCCTTGATCAATTCAGTCTGACTCTGAAAATGGATTTTACCCTAAAAGTGATTCACTTGTGTTCATTTGGCAGTCATACCTTCAGATGTAAGTGTCTGGACTTCGCTCTAAATGCAGCGAGCTCCCCAGCTCTGACCCCGATCAGCGTTTCAGGTTGTAAAGCAAGCGAGAGCGTTTGATTGCCAGGTCCTGCTCCTTGCTCTCCAGGCCAGCAGGGACTGGTGGGAAGGTGGAGCTGCAGACAAGGGCCTAGGGAGACAACTGAGGACATCCTGCTACACAACAGTTTAGGGTTTCCAGATATGGGGAGCGGGTGCGCCTGAAGAGCAGGGACAGATGGACATTAAGATGTACTAATGAACATAAGTCTTGACGTTTCCTCACCCTACATAGATTTCAAGGCCATTTGCCATTCTGCAGGCAGTTCAGCAGTTTTTTTGAGAGTGCCAGGACCAAATCTGTGGTTATGGGTCAGGTGCTAACCTACTTTCCCTGTCTACTGCTGATAAGTCAGATCTGCCTTGTACGTTACTTATGAAAGTGTGGCACAGTTGGCCGTGAGGACACCAGGCAGATAACTGAGCATCTGCAGATTTAAAGAAACTTGCTCTGGCATAAGACTGTCAGAAGGGGCTGTGCATCAAGAGGGAATCTGCACGTGAGGGAGAGAGAATCATCATTGTCTTCAAGGCTTGCAGGTGCATCCCAAAATGGAGTTCAAAGTTAACATTGTAAGATGCATACCGTGCAAAAGCACCGCGTTTGTCTAGTTTGCATTTCTAGCAAAGGACGGAACAGCATGCTTTTTATACGGCACCAGGGCTGTGACACACACTATGCAGTTACTGGGCCAGCTGCACTGAAGCATGCTACAATACTACAGCTGCTCTGTGACCAAAAAGACCAAGCTAAATTGCCACTAAAAACTGTACCTGTCATCCTTTGTGAAACACCCAGCACCTACTGCTTCTACTTATCACTGGTTTCCTTGTAAAATATGCAGTAGGTCTGAGAACTTAGGTAAAATTACCACACAACTCAATTCAATTACACCTTCGAGTTATATATGTCCCTGCAATTTTTCAGCCTTCAAATCTCGTCTGGATTAGCATGGAGACCCCAGGGGTGAGAGACAAGTGATTAGTCCATTAACCTTAGCCATATCTTCCTGTATGTTCAATCTTTCCATGAAGCAAGTGCATAATTTACTTGGAAGCACTTACTGTCATTGACAAGGCCCAGCTATCACCTGAAATTGTTGCCTTGGCCATCAACTAATCTGAGCTATGACACTGGGAGGGAGAGGATGGTGGGACCACAAGGAAGAAAAGGGTCGGGGGAAGAATACTGGATGAGGACAATGCTCTTTCACGTCATTATATTAAACAATGGCTACCACAATTTGGGTGTTGACTGTAGTTTCTGGAGCGAGGTCTCCCAGTGTGCAGTAGGAAGCTGTAGTCTGCACAGGCTATAGCTGCAATATGCACTAAGGGATCACTGTGGTTCTTGCTCTGCTCTTCTCACCATGAGCAGAAGCTTTTCCTATTGCCAAGGAGCTTTCACAAGTAGCTCCTGAGAGTCCACCAAGTCCATGAAACTGCCCACCACCTCCCCTCTGCCGTTTCCTTATTCCCTCGGCAGGGCCGTGTGCCAAGGAAAGCCTAACGCATGCTTGATAGGTCTTTTGACCTTTCACAAAGGAGCCATCGGCGTGGCAGAGACCTTGTAGCAGCACTAGGGCAAGACCTTTTCTCAGCAAGACACAAGTGATGGTTAAAAGACTGGGGGAAGGGAGACAAAGGAGGAGAAAGAGCTGCAAAGAGAATTAATAGGTAGAAAATTCAAGCTGGAAGAGATCAAAGCAATGTTATGGTCTGATAGTTTAATTATGGCCAGTGATTGGCAAATGAATGTATGAAGGAGGCAAAAACCTTTGAGTTTAATGTAATTAATCCCATTTATTCAAATAGCAACCTGCCTCTGCCCATGCTAGACATGAGCATGCATCTTTTCCTAGATCTTCTTCATATCAATTGTTTTAGTATTGTCCACTGAGGTGACCACTTGCTTCACTCCTGTTGCAGGTGGTGGCCTAATCAGGAGATTAGTACCTATTCATGAGATTGCAGAGCGGAAAAGAGGGGGTTCTAGTTCTGTTCCGTGCATCGATCTTCAGGTCTTTGATTTCACTTGAAATTAGGTGCTTAAATACCCGTAAGGATCTGGACTTTCATCTTACTCATTAACAGCCTGACCTGGGAGACATCCACAGCCAGCTACAATTCTTGCTTGCATTGCCCAGGGCTTGTTTAGGAGCTACTTTGCTTTTTGAATAGTATCCTCAGAACAAGAGCTGCAGGAAGCAAGAATGAACACAGTAATACTCTTTGTGGCAGGCAGAAGCTGTATGCTTAATTCCCCAATGTACCGTCACCTTGTGGCTCCTACCCTGGACACCATTTGTTGCTCCCATCCCCTTGCAGGGACATGGCAGCTTCCTGCAATATTCTGACTTGCAGTGGCCCAGATCTCAGCTCATGAGAAACAAGCTTACTGTGCTGATGGCACTGAATTTCACCAGTTCCAGATCTGGTTCAAGATCTTCTGGTAGGGCTATCGCAGAGTCATGGACCATGCTGTAGAATCCTTCTTTTTTAAATTATATTTTTAAAGGGCTGACACAGTACTACTGTAGTGAAGTCAAGCCAACAAACTGCACAGGTACACAGCTAATGTGGGACACTTAATTGGATATGAATGCTCCCTCTGGCATATTCCTGTCCTGGAGTTTAATTTTGACCCCTACATAGTAATAATAAAGGAAATAATAAAATACTGAAATCACCATTTAGAAAGAGTTGCGTTTGCACCAAACCCTTGACAGCATTTTACCCTATAGCATCACGGTTCTGGGAGTTTGTTTTCCTTTCTTATAGAAATTTTAATTACATGTAACACTTATTATTCCTTTCCCTCAGCTTCCTTGAAGTGATGAGAAGGAGCGAGAGAGGGAAAGAGAGTTTCTGTAACGAATGGAAGAGGTTTTGCAGAATGAAGAGCATCAATTGATTGAGTTAATCAGAAAGTGACCTTAACTGCTCATCAGCTAAATCACCTACTGAATGGAATAACAACAATCAGGGCAAATTAGGATCCATAGTATTACTTAATTAGTAGGCAATGGATCACAGGGGAAAGATCTGACCATCAGAAACACAGAATACAATATATACTACATTAGTGTGTGGGTATATGTATGTGTGTGTGCATGTATGCATGCATGCATGCATGCACATACATGTGTGCATACAGCATGAGGTATGTTTAGCTCTGCTGGTCCAAGGATGTAAGTAAGTGAGGTGGAGATCATGGGGAAAGGTAGTATTTTCTAGCAGATCCACTAATATAGTCAGAAAAAACAGATAAGCTTCGGATCCATGGAAGGACAGTGTCTCTGCAAGCTTGTGTGTTTTATGGTCATATGTGAGTGGGTGAAACAAAAGAGAGTCCATTTCCCTGCAAATGAATGGTATTCTGTGCTCAGTGCAGCAACCTTGTAATTTCAAAAAGGTTTTCAAGCTAACAGGTCTGGGATGAAAAACTGAATTTGGTGGCAATTTCCTCCACTTAGATGGTGGTTAAATTAAATTTGGATAAATGTTATTAATAAATCCAATGAAATAAGTAAGTAACTGTTATCTTCAATTTAAGAACAAGAAATAAAGATACATATTACTTGACAGAGGTGAACTGGGGATATGTGAAATATGCAGACCGTTAGTGACAAAGCTGGAACAGAGATTTGGTGGTCCATTATTAGTAGTTCATAAGGCCACATCTCTTTCTCACTCTTCATCTCTTTCTCCTTCTTTCTCTCGAGGTTAATTTGCTCTTCTCAGAATTAGAACTGAGCTTGCAGCAACCCAGATTTTTATAAAAAATGTGTTTTTATTGCAGAATAATTGAAAACAGTCAAAGCTTATGATTGCTTGAAAAATAAAAAATAACATTGATTAAAACCTCCTTTTTATTTTTCTTTTTCCCTACCTTTTTGATGAAAGTTCAAAATGCATGACATTTCAGCCAGCTCTCGTCTGATTGCAGCATCTGATTCACCTTTTTTAATGTGTCAGGACGCAGCTCTGTTCTCTTGCTTTTGCAGCACTGATTGGGGAGGGGCAACGCATTCTGATTCTCTTTCTCTCTTTTGAAATCAGGAGATTGATGGCAATGCTTTGTTGCTGCTGAAAAGTGACATGATCATGAAATACCTGGGCTTGAAACTGGGACCAGCGTTGAAACTTTGTTACCACATCGATAAACTCAAGCAAGCCAAGTTCTAACAAGTTCTCCAACAACAGCAAAACCTGACCTAAATCTAGACAGCAAATTAAAGGTAACATGTTGCCTTACAGACATGCATTCGTTTGCGGATTGTTTTCCTCCTCTTTTTTAACAAAGACTTTGTCTTTTTTAACATTTGTGCATCTTCACCTTTTTTTAATCCAATGAGGCATTTCGGGCTGCTTTGTGTTAATAATTTGCCAAAAAGTATATAATTACAATAATTATTTTGTATCATTGATATTATTATGATTATAGTAAGTCCTATTTTTGTAATCAGAAGTGGGAAATCAGAAACAAATACCACTATGACATATATTGAGGACTGCTGGAAGATGATCAAAGAGCCCCTCACTTGCTATCAGTCCGCCTCTGAGGAATAACTGCTGGCCTGCATCAGCAGGGTTGTGGCGAGAGCGCAACGCTGGTGCCACCACGGATGCACAAGGCCTGGAAAAAGTCCGGACTTTGGTCAGCTCTTATCTTATGGGAACTACTCCATGTCTTGCACTATCTGGAAAACTTGAATTCTTTAGTTTAAAAAAAGAAAAAGAGAGAGGAAAAAAAAAAAAGAAAGTAAAATGAAAAAAATGAAAATAGGGGAAAGAAAAGGGTTTCTGCAAGCCAAAGTACTCTTTTTCCCACTAGAGGGAGCAGCCCTAATAGACTTCAGGCTGGAGCTCTGAGGACACGGTGTTTCTGTCTGAGGCGCTTTGGCCATCATGATTCTCCTGTCTAGCACATCTCTAACACTGGTAAGGAATTGCAGGCTCCCAGTAGGATGAGCCTGTCACAGTTTACAGATAATTAATTTAAGAAAAGGCCAAACACAGAAAGTGTTTCTGACAGGATGTTTCCTGTTAAGCTGAAGAGGGGGTGGACGGCTCCCACCATGGCTGGCGTTCCCAGTTGCCGGTGTCCTTCCTCGAGCCATTTCTCTCTGCCACGTAGTCTGTGGCAGTCTTTAAGAAAAAAAATGGAATTTCTAGTTTTGTTTTTTTTCATGTTTTTAAGAAGCAAGAGACCAGGGTGGAAGCGTCCCCTGCAAGGAGCTGGCAATACCAGGCACATTGTGCTTTTGTAATGACAGTCAGATCTGGGGCAGATGAATGCTCCGGGTTTGTTCCCTGGCCGAGCTGCAGTGGAGGGCAAAGCGCCAGGCTTTAAGTCTCAACTAGATTAAAAATAATATCCTTCTGTCTCTTATGCAAACCAAAATATGCTCATTGATACTTCACGTAGCCAGGCCAGGCGAATGGCAGGTCTTAGGCTGAGGAGGGGATATGCCCTCATTTTCATCTTTCAGAAATGAGGATTATGAAGGGACTCATCCATTCACTGAGTTTCAGCCCTTAGTGGGTGGCAAGAAGCAGTAGCAAGTGTTTGTAAGTCATGCAGATTATTTTAGAGCCAGCCTTGACTGAATTGGGAAATGGAGTCCTAATAATATGCAAGACATCATACCATCTGAGACTGTTTATGGAGAACAGAATATTACCAAAAATACCTCATGGAATAACACTCAATTTGATGTATGTTGCTAGAATAAAACTCCTACAAAAAGATATCAGTTCAAGAACCAATCTTGAAAGCACTAAAGAATATGAGCAACCACATCCCACAAGACTTTGACTAAACTCTTGGGGACTACTCCTCCAATTTAATAAAGTTGTCTATATGCGCTTGCAGAATTGGATCTTCATGTGACTGACCAACTTTCAGCAAATCATGTCTGCACATCGAAACACATCTAAAACGAATAGCTGAACGAGTGTGTTAAGTGAGAAGTCCTATAATATCAAGAGACGTAACACACCGAACCCTAAACACGCAGGTTCTTCAAAATTAAAACCCATTTGCATCCGTTTGTATCCATGTTGTACAGAATAGAAATCTGCTCAATCCAGCATCTGGTTGAGACAAAGGTAACATCAACATAAAACCTCACAACATGTTGATGGGAACATCAACATGAAAACTGTACAGTTCATTTTTCACTCCTACATTTTTTTAGAATGAATCTTTCCTCACAAAGAGCCCCAAAATATGTAAAAATATTGCTGCATTAGTAATGTCATGTTCAGAAAGTCCTCAGACAACCTTTTTCTTTTTTTTTTTTTCCATATATTTTTGAATATAGTTAACTGCTCTTTCAGAAAGGTGATTTTAATCCCTCCACTTAAAACCCAGCTCAGTCTAGTATATCAGTAGTCAGAGCTGGTTAGAATTTATCAGACAGTTTCAGTGCTGGAAAACGCCACTTTGTCAAAACCGAAACTTTTCATAAAAGCCTGTTGCTTTTGAACATAAAGTCCTATTTAACTGAAACTACCTTTCTGGTAATGTCAGAACACCATTTTGACATTTTGGGTATGGAACTTTTTATTTCAAAATGATTTTTTATTTTATTTTATTTCCTTGGAGATCTTGTAACTACACATTTTTGTTTTGATGAAAGTAGAAAAAAATCAGAACTACAGAATTCCTGAAAATGAAATGTTCCCCTTCAGCTCTACCTCTCATCTTCTCTGTCTTTCATCTCCCCTATCCAGACATTACAGCTGAGAAGCTTGGTAATACCTACACAGTATTTACAGACTCTTAAGAGGCAGCGATGTTCTTACATTTAATATGCTGAAATAATTTTCATGTATGGGTCTAATACATACAGTCAGTGGTGCTATTTCATTTTATATTAAACTTTCAGGTATGACAGAACTGTTCAAGCCGTGATATTTAATGCTTTATTTTTTACAGGGCAGGTTTTGGGTGGATTCTTTTTAAGTAAAGCTTATAACAAAAATTCCTCATTGTATGTTTTTCAACCAAAAGGCAATTAGGAGGCAAAAATTATTGCAGTAATATTGTAATTATAACTAATTTTTTCTTCTCAAGCCTTGTCAGTGAGGGTAGTTAAGCAGCTCTGCTGTGCAGAGTGTATCAGGCCATTTCCCCAGAACAAGCACTGAAGAGTCAGAACAAGCATGTCACTCGTTTCTCAATTAGCTGCTATTTCCGACATTACTTGTACAAATTACTTTGCTTGCAATTCTGTTCATAGCTCTTGCTTCGGACCGTAGCCAGTCACGTTGCAGTTTTGAACTATTCCAAATGAGTGGGTGGGTATGCGTACCCATAAGAGCAATACATGTGGCTGTTTTCTCCTTTTAAGGACTCACACAGCTGGATCGACAGGCATTTCTGGTGCTTCAGGTAGTTTCAATACTTAATGAGAATTTGCTTTTTAAAAAAAAAAAAAAAGTAGGCAAAGTCTAAGGATGTGGGGAGAGAGCTATCCAGTCCCATAAGTGTCTGTAGGAGGGGTAGACCCCGAGGTTGCGGACCGACCGGCTACACGCACCCCAAGTGGCTCATCAGCTCAGCCCCTGCGGCCAATACAGGTCCGTCATGCTGTCTTCTCACGGACTGCTGTCCTGGCCTCTTCCTGCTTGCTGAAAAATGTCTCCTTCCCAAGCCAGACCTAAATGAGTTTCGAGAAGTGCCCATGGGGACGCATTTGGCAAAAGCCGCCACCTCCTTGAGCCCCCTTCCTCACTCGGCAGGTTGGGGAGAGCGGCGGCCTTTGCACCGTTAGCAGCTTCGTGCAGCATGATTAATGCCGGCAGGCGCCCTTGAGACTGGCGCATCAAGCATCACTCTGGGCTGCTATTGCCCTTAAACCAATCACTGAATTTCTATAGGTTGTCAGCAGGCTTCAGGAGTTAAAGAAAGGATGGCTGGGAAAAGTTAAGCCAAAGAGTTCTAACAAAAAAACAGCAATAATCAGCAAAACGATAAGAAAATAGTCAACGCGCTCTTGGCGTGAAAAGGGCCGTCCCTTGGATTAGCAGCAAGAGCATAAGCCATCATCAGGTTCAATTAGTGCCGCTCATGCAAGGGAAGATGAAAATGGCAGTTTAGGAGCAGGTATATGGATTTGTAGACAGAAAGGATGGAAAGCCTGCCCCTGACTCCAGTAGCCACAGGTGTGCTTTCAAGTCGTGCAGCAGCCCCTTCCAGAGAGGGAGAAACGGGCCCACACTTTTAGGGGATTGCTCTGTTGGCCCCTACTATTTCCATATCAACACACTTGGGGTTGCTAGGAAAATAATTCACAATCAGCACTTTGGGGGCAAAAATTCAGGCAGGTCAGCAAGAGTCCCATCCCTCTCCAAGCACTTCTGTGCACAGAACCTGAATAAGACAGCTCCAAAGAGGGGCCCACACGCCAACACTCCCCTCATCACTGGTAACCAGGTCATACAGACTTGTACGAATTTTGCTTCTCTTCCTAAGAAATATAGTCTTAAATTTGCACACCTTTGCCAGAGAAAGCAGGCAGGTCGCACATTGCCTTTGATTCCTTGCAATAGTTACATGCTGCTTTCTAATCCATGCTCCCTTCATGGACAATTGGAAGCTGATTCCCTTGGAAATCTAAAATTTTGCTTGAAAAGGAATCACTTTTATTCACTGCCATGAGTTAAATATTATGGAAACATGTCTGCTAACAATTTGCTTTGTGTAATTTGTGCTAATGCTAATAAGCACCAGCTGCATTACTTCCTGTTGCAGATTCTTTTGTGGTTGCAGTGGTATTATCACACATGTACTTCACAAATATGATAGACTCTAGCATAACTCACTCATTCTGGCACCGGCTCCAGCAAACTCCCTTGACTCAGAATTACAGCTATGCAAATCTGAATTTACAGTCTCTGTCTCCCTTTGTTCCCAGAGTCTCAGCTCTCCACCAGGTGCTTGGAGCAAAACTGCTGGGTGGGGACAAGGGACCCTGGAGATAAGTCAGTGCATGTGCAATGTGGTTAGAAGGGGTTGCTTTCAGCAGAGATGTCATTGACCAGTTAGGTTCACTGCAGTTCAAGTAGAGGGGGTTTTACAGAGGCGAAGTGGAAGAGAAATGCGATTTCTTAAAGAAAAAAGAAAAGAGAAAAATTAGGGTGTAATACACTGCCACCATAATTCTTCATCTGAAACCCAAGAATCTTTCAACTGTAACATAAAGAAAAATGTTTCCCTCACCTA